AGCAGGAAAGCATGTTTTATACTAGAGTTCATGGAGATAAATTATTCTAAAAAAACAACCTCTTTGTTCATACTATTAGAACAGTGCTAATTAAGAGTGCAGTTCTGTTCTTAAATCTACAGCATGGATTTCTAAAATGTGAAACAACTTGGGTATTTGAAGAACTGCCAGTACCTTTGGCATTAAAGGAACACGATCAACTTAAATTACTTTGATAAACCAACTTTTGAAAAAGATCATTGACTTTTTGATACAGTATTCTTTAAATAATATGACCTGACTTTTTTTCTTTTTAAAAATATCATTCAAAGCATTTCTTATACGAGCTGTCCTGGTCTGTTGTTAATATTTATAAGGATCTAATCAGCAACACAAATCCTGACAAGCAAATTGAAGCTAACTAGGCATAAATGCTGTCAGATGTGCAAAGAGAACAAATTGTTAAAAAAAGAGATTTTTTTTCCAACTCCTTGTTCAGTTATAATTATCTAAGGTTACTTGCAATTATAGTAGGACCAGTGTTTTCAAACAGAAAAGTGTCTACCTCAAGCGGATGGAGCCCCTTTACTGTTCAACTGCTGTCTTTCATGATGCTGGCAGATTCTGAAAAATGGGTGAGGGTTTTCCTATTCCCCACCCCCAGAAGACAGACTTTTCAGAATACACACAGGCATACTCTGCTTGCTGAAACACAGGTTATTTCCAAGTGACTTTCATTCAATCACGAAAATTACTCCAGTTTTATGTCAGTGTGACGAAGAGCAGGGTTTACCTCCTCCTTGCACTACGTGCTCTTGCCAAGACATTCCTGAGCATGCTCCAAACCTGGAAATGTGCCAGTGAGCTTGCTCTGGATCATTCCCAGCAACTCTTTTCCAGCATGCCAGAGACCAAAGTTTTGAAAGCAGCTGCTGGGGAGGAGCCCAAAGCAGCCACACCAGTGTATTCTGGGTTTGGAGTGTGCCTGTGGGAGCAGGCAGGAAGACGTATGCCGAAGTTTCCTAGATGAAGCATGCTATTGATTAAAGAGAACTGTCTCAAATGTTTACCTAAATATACAACTGATTTCCACTTAAATAGCCTTCATAGAACTTCCTTCTCCATTAGTGTGACTTTTGAAAGTCTTTGTAATTCACAGTTGGCCTGAGAAGGAAGTGCAAAATGAGAATAGCTGTTCATGCAAGTTTTACAGTCTGCAGATGCACAGACTTAAGACAGTTCATATAAATGCATCAAGTATTTCTGTATGTTATGTAAATAATAACTATAACAATAACAATAGTAATATCTGAACCGCAGTCAACCTCCACATCTTTACAAATGTGACCAGTGCTAACCCTGAGCCAGCTTCACCTTCTGTGTCCTGATATTTGTATCCACCCACAGGAATCCTATACACAGACTGATGACAATATGCTGCGTGCCTCATTGAACATAATCTATTTCACACCCTTGCTGGGATAATTCACCCACTTCAGCTTCCATAAACATTTAGCCTAAAGGGAACAGTTTGGCTAGGGATAGTGTAATAGTTTTCAATAACTCTCAAATTTCACAGGCCACTAATGCCACCAATTGGTGATTTCTGGTTTATTTCTGATATTGGCGCATGGGCATAGGACCCATCCATGAAAAGCAAACTAAGGTTTGCTTAAGGCAGGCTCAGGTATAAATATAAACAGACTCAGCCTTGTTTTTTCCCCTCTTACATTTTCTTTCGTAGTACAATTTTTTTTTTTTTGGAAGAAAAGGAATTCCCTTATTACAAAAGTTAATACTAGCTCTCTTTGTTTGAGATGCTATATAATAATCATAATTTCTGGCACAGTGATCAGACGTTGTCTACATTGGCTGATGAGCTATCTAAACTCTTTGGTTTTGATGAACAGCAATTTTCATTTCCTAAATCCATTCCATTTCCTAGTCCTGTTCTTTTGTTCTGTACTTAGATCCCAATACCTTCTATAATCTCTTTTCTCTATGCTCTCCTACACCTGTGACATCAGTGATAAGATTTACCTTCCTTTGATCCTGCAGCTCCTTGAATCTGCTGTGGCTTTTGGCCTGATTCTATTAAGTTAGGGATTGTCACCTGGGGGTACTTGGGAAGGCCCTAGGGGGTAAGTGTGGGTGGGCAGGGATGGAGTGCTGCCACCCACCACCCCGCACTGCTGTGTCCCAGGAGCCGGCTGGATGCAGGGGGAGGGGGAGGTCGCATGCAGCAGCCTCTGCTACCGTCCATGACACTGCGCTGCTGCTGCTCCGTGTCCAGCTGCATGCCATCTTCCCCCCCGCACCTCCCAACGTCTGGCCGCCAGGGGTACACTTATTAAAAAGAATGGAAAACCCCCTGTGATAGCTAGAACTAAAAGAGTTAATAAGCAGTTATAACAAAAGAAAATGCTTTTTGAAGATATCTGAAACAGAACTTATGAAATTGATTTTGTCTGTCTGGAGTATAACCCACAAGAATTATATATAACTTTTATATTAATCTTGAAACAGCATGACTTTTAAAAAGCAGAACTAAAAGATATAACTGCAGACTTAGCTAATTTTATAATCTTTTTCTGCTAAGAGATAGTAAAATAAACTTAGGCAGGGACATGTTAATCTCAGACCCCAAAGTAATGTAGTGTGATTTGCTTATTAAGTAAACCCAAGCTTAAGCAGTAACTTATTGTAATGATTTCTAACACCTATTAACCCCATAAGATAACAGCTATAGAGTAACATTATGAATAGCTATATAACTAAAAATTAGCATAAACAAGATATAAAAGAACATGCACGCTAAGTAACCCTCAGGAAGGACAGAAAAAAAGGCACATTGCTGTTCCATTCCCCTGGATCTCTTATTCCCTGTGTGAATGAAGACCAGATCCTGACTGAGGGACCTCCTCCGGTTTTCCTTCTGACAGAGTAAATTGGGGACGCCCAATTTACGCCCAACACGTCAAGTTGATTCGCTGAATCAACTTGACGTGTTTCTAACTGAAGGACTATCGATAAGTTACTAACCAAGTGGGAACTCTTAGTTAATTTCTCTATCTGTTTTATTATTACTGCCAATTTTAATTTGTATTGTTATGTTGTCTGTTTATTAGCTTAACCTTTTTATTAACTGTTATATGTGTAAACTATATCTTTTGTTGCTATAAGTAAAATTTATTCTTTCTCATCAGTGAAACTTGTCATTGCTTTCCTTCCCAACATCACCTCCTTGATCCCGAACCAAAAAGCCCAGTGGCTAGCAAAGTTGCAGTACTCAGTCAGCCTGCAACTAAATTGATATCCTCACAGTGCCCAGCTCGCCTGTGACAACCCCCACAGTGCTAGACTTAGCACTTGCGCTGGACATGATGCTCAGGGCCAGTCAGAGCATGTACCACACCTGCACTGGACTGTCCCTATGTTATAGACACAGGGTCAGTCTGGATCAGGTCAACATACCAGCCCTGTGTGCCAGAGCCAGTGCACAGGCCAAGTCCAGCATGGGCACCACATGCAGTGTAACCTAGACTGGTGCCACATACGCCATGCAGCATGCGGGGCTGGGCTGGCATGTGCTACATATGGTGCATGGGGCTGGAGCCAGCATACATGCTGTACACAGCATGTGGGTACTAGCCTGGCATGCATTGCATGTGGCACCCACAGTGGTCTGGCCCTATGCACTGGCTTCAGCATGGAGGGCATGTCTATGGGCCCTCCTCACTGACAGTGCACTTCACAGGTAGGTATCTGAAGAACTGCCAGGACCTCTTGTTGCCCAAGTGTTACCCAGCTGTGACCCAGGAGACACACTGCCAATCCTGAGAGGGGCGAGGTTACGCACCAGCATCTGATTAAAAAATAGGTGAAGGTAGGAAAAGTAGAGGTGCCAAAATGAAAGGGTAGAATGATGCTTTACCTTCCCTGCACAGTATTCCTCTGTTCCTCTCCAGTCGGCAAAATGACTGTGACATCCACCATCCTGTTTATCATATTTTCCTTCATGTTTACCAGGTTCTGATCAGGGATGACTTCCACGTCTGTGGGAGGCTTTTGTTCACTGTGGATTTTACTAGCTGTGGGAGGCTGGCCTGGTGGAGGGGGAGCTCGAGACTTCATTTTCTTCCTTAAGAAATAAAAACAAGTAATAAATTAATGGGCATCTTTACACATGCTCTGGGAGTGAGGGTGGGGCACTTTAATAATTAAGCAACCGCGGGTGGGCAGGGATGGAGTAGCAGCATCTCGTGTATTCATATAATCACAGAAAACTAGTAATGGAAGGGGTCTCAGGAGGTCATCTAGTCCAACCTGCTCAAATCAGGACCTTCCCAACTAGATCAGCCAGGATTTTGTCAACCTGGGCTTTAAAAACCTGCAAGGATGGAGATTCCACCACCTCTCTAGGTAACCTGTTCCACTGCTTCACCACCCTCCCAGTGAGAAAGTTTTCCCTAATATCCAACCTCCCGTGCTGCAACTTGAGACCGTTGCTCCTTGTTCTGTCATCTGACACCACTGAGAGCAGTCTAGCTCCATCCTCTTTGAAACCACTCTTCAAGTAGTTAAAGGTTGCTATCAGAAGTCATGTGCTTCAGACGCTTAACCATTTTCATTGTCTTCGCTGGACTCTCTCCAATTCGTCCATATCCTTGCTACTATCCACCTATCTGAGTACCGCCTATCTATTACACCCCCAAGCTTGATGTCATCCACAAACTTCATTAGGGTGCAATCCATCCCATCTTCCAGATCGTTAATGAAGATATTGAAAAAAACTGGCCACAAACCTAAGCCCTGGGGCACTCCACTTGATACTGCCTGCCAACTAGACATTGAGCCCTTGATTACTACCTGCTGAGTCTGACGACCCAGTCAGCTTTCTATCCACTCACTTCTGACCAACTCAGCAGTCCACACTATGCTCACTTTATCAACTATATTCTCCTCAGTTAATCACCTGGACCCAGGCCCACCTACAGAATTCTGAGAGACTTCTGACCAGAAGGAATTTGCAGTAACTCAGAAGATCTTAAAAGGCAAGTGTGTTTTCTTGATTCATAGAAAGTTAATAAGAAGGGAGAAACAGGGCTGGTTACCACCATATGAAAACACATTTTTTATTTTGTCTTAAATCTGTGCCTTTCCCTGCCAATTTAGACAAGTTCTACTCAACGCAAGTACCTCTGAATAATTAAGCCTCACTAAAGAATCCAGCATCTCCAACAGTTTTCCTCTTATCTCGGAGACTGGCTTTTATCTGTTCCAAAGACCTCTGATGAACATTTCCAGGCTTATCTGAGTGTACTTTACCCGTAAGAGTATGTGTGTGTGCATATGTGCGCATACATGTGCATGCACTTCTTCAGAATGCAAATCCCATGAACAGAATCATCATGTCATCCATATAACCAACAGTCAATAAGGCTATTTATCATCATTAACCTAGTTCTTCCAACCCCAAAGCTAACTAGACTTGATTCTAATGGCTATCAAGAAACCTAGTCCATCAAGCCCAAACATTATGCATATTCATGATATGCATAAAAATACTGCAGATTATTTCCATGTTTGTCAGAGCTTCAAGTGGAAGCTTAGTTAAACTAACTCTGAGCGTTTGGGAAAATCCAAATTTTCAAAATCAAAATGCAACAAGGATATGTCTTGTATAGTGCCGGTATGAAAACAAATAAGGCAAGGATACCTACACTTAACCTGCTAGTCGAAGTCTGGGCTGTTTAACTTGTGAACTGTGGATAGTATATGGAGTGCAAAGGGTTAGCATGCAGCCTGCAAGCTCCTGGCATAGCCACCACTGCCCCCCTCCTGCCATTGCTCCTACTGCAGGAGCTGAGTTCTTTGGGCTCCCCACTCTCCTCTGGCTTCCACTTCCTGCCCCTGAATCTGGGAGCACCATGGTGCAGCAGGAGGGCCAGTGTGCCTGAGCTGCGTGTACAGTGGAGGGGGCAGAGTACCTGAACTGTGTGCATGACAGGGGAGAAGGCCTGCTTGCACTGCGCATGAGAAAGGCACGTGCCAGGTTGCTGGCACTGCAGGTTAGTGGCACTTGTGGCCAAGAGGGGAGGAGAATGAGGTATTGTGTGTGCAGCAGAAGGAGCTGGGCTGCCTGTTCTGCAAGGGTGGGAGGGAGCTGTCTGTGCAGCATTGAAGAGGGGTAAGCTGGGGAGATGCTGCATGCATGGTAGCGGAGAGCCCAGGGAGGCCTTCCACTGCCACATACAGTTAGTGGTCCTCACAGTCTGCGGCTTGCATCTCACGCGGCCCCCAGGGCTGCAGCCCACAGCCTGTGGCCCCCAGCTGCCTGGAGGTTGAATAGACCTGACCTAAATAATCAAAACCACTCTGTCCCACTTGTTTTTTTAGTGACTTTAAGCTCAGAAGAGCCCTCTATAATCATCTGGACTGATCTCCCACAAGACAGAAACCTGAATCATTACTTTCCTCCCTGTCACACTGTAATCCATGCATCTGTCAGGGCTGTTTTCCTTCTCTACCTCTCTGTATTGTTGCAAAATTTAATAACATTAAACAAAGCTAATCATTTCTCCACAAGGCTTGGTTGATTAAAGTATACCAATTGGAGGTGCATTATGTTGTATGTGCATCATACACATTTACTTGGAACATTTCTATGGTGACAGAAGTATTTGAGGTAAGTATCAAAGAGAAGCTATGCTAATACATGCTCCTGTTTGGGAGTATTTCAAATTCTTGTTGAACATCACCATATTTGATTACCTTCTGTAGTAAAGGGTTCAAGTGAACCCTGTGAAACCAATGGTAGTACATGTATATCAGCAGTCTCCAAATCATTCAAATATATGGCAGACAATCTCAAGTTTTATAACATGAATCTCTCTGCTTTGATGGCTCTCTGCCCCTGCATAGATATTGATGGGAGCAACAGATAGCTCTAGCTGTCCTGCAGTCCTTTCCCACTCCTTACTCAGAAAATTTGCCACTTAGTTTCAACTATATTTACTATATGCAAGACAGAAAAAAGTAATTCTAATAAAGCTCCTATTGATTCAAGAAGTTGAATTTGGGTTCCAAATACTAACAATGAAAACAAAGTCAGATACTACAAAATTCTAATAACCATGTAAGTGGTAGGTGCAGAAATGAATGCACAACACTGTTCACTTTTTAACAGTGAATAGTTGAGATATTGTATCCTACCTGGCAGCACAGGGTTACAAGAGGTAAATTCAAACTGCAAAAAGTTAGTTCATGTCCAGAGGCAGGATTTGACTGCCCCCAACTTCAACAGTTCTTGGATCCAAGTTTTCACTAATTTATATTCCAATGATTTATACATCTGCACATTACTTTGGAAAACTCTTTGAGGACTAGAGAGGAGAGTGCTGCATCCAAATCCAGTTTCTCACATTGTCAGGAATGGCAGGACCTTATGACAAAATTCTTCAGAAATACAACTTGTAGCAACAAACTACACTATTGGAAAATGCTTATTCTGCAAACATGCCCTGGATAAACATAACAGGGCAGTCTGTCCCTTTAAGAAGGAACAGTCAACCATGTTGAGAAAGGCTAACTGCAGGGCATTTGGATAGTCCTTTAAAAAGGTCCCTGAACAGTTACCAAGGGAGAAGAAAGTAAGCTGTGAGCAGAACAGCTTGCTACAAGGAGGGGCCAGAGACAAGGGCTCCCCTCCTATTGCCCAGGACAGGGCAGAAGGGTTTTTTGTTTGTTTGTTTGTTTGTGTGTTTACTTGTTTGCTGCTTAATGACTGGGTTTTTTTGGGGAGAACTGGCTGAGGAGCTCCTCAGAGAGCAAAATCCATCTCTTAAAAGCCAGCAGGCTGGACAAGCTGCTTACTGTAAGTATATAAGGCCTCTCTAAGCTTCATTAATTTACACTTAGCCCATTTTATGCCAGTGTAACTGCACTGGAATCATTGGAACACAGTAATGAATCTGACCCTTCATTAGGAGACAGGATGATAATTATTTTGCACAGTAAAAAGAATTATCCTAAGACAGTCAAAAATGCTGAGCCCAACCCCATTCTCCTTATAGTTCTGCTAGATTGTATATGTCTCACAAGAATACCTTGGTAAAATAAGACCCGATTCATACAGTATCATGCTAATGGACCTGTAGACTAAGAGAAGGTAACTCTCTGGACACTCTCTAAAAGTTAAGTTCCTAGAAGCTGATAGAGAGGTTGCATCAACTTCTACCACTGAACAAGCATCATTCTTAGTACAAAAGAAGAACCATAATCTCCATAAAATCAACTTTTATTTTTTCCTTTGTTTGAAGGCAACCAAGCAGACACAGGATAAGTAACAAACATTTATTGCTGAATAACTAAATAGCTGACTTTGTACTTGGGGCATATGTTTAATAATTAATATCCCAATGACCTAAGATGATTAGATTTATGTTTAAGTCAGATTTTAGCATAAACAAATGGAAAAACAGTAAAATGTTTGATCAAGCTAATTTCCAAAAGACTGGTATATAAACACACTGAATTTTTGTCTGTTTTTATTTAGGATATCACTTTTGCTACATAGTCAATGTAAATAGAAGTCCAAGGAAGGCAAAATGCACACAGAAACAGGTTATTGGTGGTTGGTGAATAAGCAGGAATGATTGGTGGCAAGGGTAGAGGGAGAGCAAACTCTGGAAAGCTCAGGGCTGAATGGGACTGTGAAGTTTAGCCAAAGGTCAGACAAGGACCTGACAACTTCAAAATTAATTTTCTTTTTAATTAAACCCCCACATTACCTGCACACCATGCAGGCTCATGCTGGAACAGTCTTTCTCTGGCCAAATATGTAGTGCCAGTGACCCATGTATGTGGCTGTGCAGTGCAAAGGAGCTGCCCCATAAGCAATGATTTGGGAATGGCCTGCATGACACCCCTTTTGCCAACATCTGAATGTACACTGACAACTTCTGTAGTATGCTGCAGTGTACTGCACTGCTTGAAAATGCCCATAGTATGAGACTGCCAGCAGAATACCATGACATTAGCAATGATGTTTCTATGGCACTACTGCTTTTACTTAATGTGTTGTGAAAGCAATAAATATCATCATCTAAAAGACTCACAGAGAAAAATGGTACTATACTG